TGGAGAGCAGACGCTTCTTGTTTTGATCAGTAATTACTATCGGGTACGTGCCCAGCATGAGTGGATCCGGGTTGGCACCAATGAAACAAGTGCCACTGGAAACGGTGTCAAAATAACCCCCCCCCATGATCAATCTTGCAATATCATATTAACTTGAGCTTGAGTTATTAAGTTGAGAGGCGGGACCAAAGAGCTGAAGCTCAACCTGCAGGCACAAATAGACGAAGCGAAGGCCAACCTCTGGGTCGTCATCAAACACCGAAGCACCAGAGAAAACATTGGTTAATGCGAGTTAAATTTTCCCATCTTCCAAGCTTGCATTATGGAGAGTTCCGGTGCTCGCCGCCAGAGGGCCACCAGAGGGCCGCCAGAGGCCCGCCAGAGGGCCGCCAGAGGGCCGCCAGAGGGCCGCCAGAGGGCCACCAGAGGGCCGCCAGAGGGCCGCCAGAGGGCCGCCAGAGGGCCGCCAGAGGGCCGCCAGAGGGCCACCAGAGGGCCGCCAGAGGGCCGTCAGAGGGCCGCCAGAGGGCCGCCAGAGGGCCGCCAGGGGGGGGCCCTAAACTTCGGGTATAAACAGTTCAACTCTTCAAAAGAACCCAAATTACCGAAAGAACCCAAATAATTACCAATTATTGTCATATGACAGGAACTACACTGCAGTTAAGGGATCAACTCGGGTAATTGAATGTGTCAATGAAAGATTGATGTTCAGAATGGAATATGCAGGGGCCTGACAGCTGAGTGTGCAGCGCTCGGGATTCGTGGTTCTGACGTTCCGGGTTCGATCCCCGGTGGAGGCGGAAACAAATGGGCAAAGTTTCTTTCATCCTGGTGTCCTTGTTCACCTAGCAGTAAATAGGTACCTGGGAGTTAGACAGCTGCTACGGGCTGCTGCTTCATGGGGGATGTGTAACAAAAAGGAGGCCTGGTCGAGGACCGGGCCGCAGGGACGCTAAGCCCCGAAATCATCTCAAGATAACCTCAAGATAGATCCTGACAATTGAAAGGTCATTTATATTTAAGGAGCCTAACCTTAATAATAAAACTGGTTTTATTAATTCTAAAACTGGGTTTTTAGTAATTCAAATGCTTTGAATTATTAAATTAAAGTGGGTCAGTGACTTCTCATTGGAAGCAGGAAGTGTCAAACTGACCATGACAATTGTCAGAGGCTGGCAACAGCCAGTAGAACAACCCAGCCATCACAACCCAGCTGATCCCACACATCAACATTTCCTCTGCTTGAATGTAAACAAACTGAATTTGAGGTTGAACAGTGGAGGGTCTCTGGCAGTCATCCTGCTCTCTGGTGTTGCTTCAACACAACGTAATATCTCGCACGACTCAGCCAGAGGACGGGTTTGATCACGATCTACTAGGGTTATCTTGAGGTTATCTTGAGACGATTTCGGGGCTTTTTAGTGTCCCCGCGGCCCGGTCCTCGACCAGGCCTCCACCCCCAGGAAGCAGCCCGTGACAGCTGACTAACACCCAGGTACCTATTTTACTGCTAGGTAACAGGGGCATACGGTGAAAGAAAATTTGCCCATTGTTTCTCGCCGGTGCCCGGGATCGAACCCAGGACCACAGGGTAAAGTAATCTTCAGCTTTTCTCCTAACGATCTCGGTACTTTCCCCTGATAATTTCTTCCTGACAATCTCATTATACTGAAAAAAGCAACAGTTTCGGTAAGTCAGTAAAGGAATACTGATACAACGAAATAGCGAACTCTCGGAGAATAGCGAAACCGTGTAGTTTGGAGGGTTATAAATCCTACGAGATTCCTGCCAGGATCTCCTTTCCCCCCCCTCGTGCGTGGGAGAGGAACAGATGCTCCCAGCCTCCTCGACCAGACCACGGGGGGGTGTCTGGTCGAAGGAGTACACCCTCCCTCGACCAGGAAGGTTCATATGGTTCACCCTCCTTTCCACCCAGCGTCCCTACCCCTGTGGCAACACCAGTCCCGTTCCTAGGTTTCAATACCACGAAGCCAACACCTGTGTGTGGTACCGAATACCTTCACGATCCGGAGAATGGACTGAGTTTGATGCTGAAAATCATTTTTTGTTTCCCTAAACAAAACTGTGGGATTATTTCTCGGGTCCACGGTTCATTAACCCCGAAGATGCACGGTGAAAATACATTTCTGCAGCAGCCATTGTTGTTAGCTTGTGAGAGGCAGAGAAGAGCTCCACTATCATGCTTGTTTCGCCAAAGTTGAGAGGGAGCAGTGTTGGGGAGGAAATACAAGAAGCAACTTACTCAAGTTTATGAATCTTTCCAAAGTTTAAGATCTTTAGAAATGTTGAACAATGGCATGAAAAATCCAATAACATCTTAAGAGTAAAGGAAGGAGGCGGAGGAAGGGAGAACAGAACCGGTCGAGTATTTTGATAATTAAGAGGAAAATACGATTATCTTAAAAAAGATTGAAAATACGATAATTCATAGATTGTATTTTACCTCTTGCGTTCAGACATCTCCTGTAACCTAAGTTATTATCAGGAGAACATCTTTGGCAAGTATACTGAAATTGAAATTGAAATTAAATAAGTTTATTGATGTAAAATACACACAAAGGGATGAGGTAGCTCAAGCTATTCTCACCCCGTTCAGTACATCGTGTTAATACATACATATACACACATCGCAAGGTGGAATTAGCAGGAATATGAGCCCGGAGTACAACGTAAGCGGCCAAACCACTTTGACCATCGGGGATCGAACGCCGACCCTGCAAAAAGCACGACCGTCGTTGTACCAACCAATTCAAGAGATATAACTCAACACTAACGAGGACTGCAAAAGTATTTCGACACGAAATAACGAACGAGATTCGTTAATAACGAAATAACGAACCCCCAGAAGAACACGAACTTTACAATAACGAAGTTCTAGACGAAGACAACAGCAATAACGGGACGAATCATATGTAGAGAAAACCTCGAGAGTAGAGAGGAAGTAGAGAGGAACTAGAGGAGTAGAATAGTGAGTAGAATAGTGAGTAGAGTAGTGAGGCAACCAAAATGAGTTGTGAGTCAGTCTGGGGTCGGATTCACGAAGCAGTTACTTAAGTACTTACGAATCTGGGGCCGGATTCACGAAGCAGGTACTCAAGCACTTACGAATCTGGGGCCGGATTCACGAAGCAGGTACTCAAGTACTTACGAACCTGGGGTAGGATTCACGAAGCAGTTACTCAAGCACTGGGGCCGGATTTACGAACCTGGGGGGATTCACGAAGATTCACGAAGCAGAACCTGGGGCCGGATTCACGAAGCAGTTACTCAAGCACTTACGAACGTAGGATTCACCATCTTTCCTACATCTTTCCTCTTTGACGGCTTTGGTTACATTTATTAAACAGTTTACAAGCATGAAAACTTGCCAATCAACTATTGTTATTGTTATAAACAGCCTCCTGGAGCTTCGGAGCTCATTAACTGTTTAATAATTGTAAACAAAGCCGCCAAAGATTGAGAAAAGATGCACAGGTTCGTAAGTGCTTGCGTAACTGCTTCGTGAATCTGACCCCCAGGTTCGTAAGTGCTTGCGTAACTGCTTCGTGAATCTGGCCCCTGTACGGTACAGTGTGAGTAAAAACGACGTAGCACAGGTAGCTCCAGCGTGTGTGTGTGTGTGTGTGTGTGTGTGTGTGTGTGTGTGTGTGTGTGTGTGCGTGTGTGTGTGTGTGCGTGTGTGTGTGTGCGTGTGTGTGTGTGTGTGTGTGTGTGTGTGTGTGTGTGTGCGTGTGTGTGTGTGTGCGTGTGTGTGTGTGTGTGTGTGTGTGTGTGTGTGTGTGTGTGTGTGTGTGTGTGTGTGTGTGTGTGTGTGTGTGTCTGTGTGTCTGTGCCTGTACCTGCACTTTTGCTTTGAAAATCGCTTAAAATCAATTTAAGCGCAGAGTGCACGAATATGAACCAATCCACACAATCTGCCAAACAGGAATCTGCGAATCTTTTTACACGCGAAAACAAATAATAAAAGTACTCCACAAAGTCATTCCTGTGACGACAACAGCCAGGTGAGTAATGGCGTACTCTCCCAGCCTCGCTTACAGCTGTTATTGACCATAAATATATTGTTCCCAGAGTGATAACCCAATATTGTCCAAGAGGGAATGGACTGGGGAGAGGGAGGGAGGGAGGGGATGGAATGGGGAGAGGGAGGGAGGGAGGGAGGGAATGGGGAGAGGGAGGGAGGGAGGGAATTATCATGCGAAAGAACCAAATGAATACAATTGCTTGTGTACATTTATAAATACAATTATCAGTTAAGTATAGTTCCCATTAATGACATCACTAGATTACCAAATGGGAGGAAACTAATGGAGATCTACAGTAGGTATCGTTACAGGTACTGCCGAGAGTACCCCCCATTGACACTGGGGAAAGTACCCCATCACAGACACTGGCGGCTTTGTTTACAATTATTAAACAGTTAATGAGCTCCGAAGCACCAGGAGGCTGTTTATAACAATAACAACAGTTGATTGGCAAGTTTTCATGCTTGTAAACTGTTTAATAAATGTAACCAAAGCCGTCAAATGCAGGCACAATACCGTGGCTAAAGTATGTTGACCAGTCCACACACTAGAAGGTGAAGGGACGACGACGTTTCGGTCCGTCCTGGATCATTCTCACAATCGACTTGAGAATGGTCCAGGACGGACCGAAACATCGTCGTCCCTTCTCCTTCTAGTGTGTGGACTGGTCACAAAAGCTGTCAAAGATTGAAGAAAGATGTACACGTTCGTAAGTACTTGCGTATTTCCCCCCCATAGACACTGGCGGAAGTACCCCCTACCACATGGCCCAGTACCTGAAAGTATCACCCACCTGCATGCGAGCAGGGCACCGCTCCTGTGCCAGGTAAGTCCGCTACGGGCTCACCATAGCCCGTGCTACTTGCCCCGAACTGTGCCAGGTTCCGCTCACCATAGCCCGTATACTGAACTTGTTCCGAGTAGCTGAACTATAAGAACAACAACAACACCCACCTGCATGATTCTGAGAATAAGGGTCATCTCGTTGAAGTTATATTCCATGGAGAACTGGATCTGGCCGACATTCTCAGTGGGTTCCGAGGTGTCAATGTACATATCCACGAGACTGAGTGACCGGTTCTGGAAGAACGCCATCTGTGGAGACCAAACTGTGTTACCATCTGTTTCCTTATCTCCAGCTGGCTCAGTGGACCCCCACTCCGCCAGCTGGGATGCCTAAACAACAGAACTAGAGGGGTGAAAAGGGGGGAAATGGGAGCCCTGGATTGGCTGAGATTGATTATTTTTTATTTGAAAAGTCTTGGTGATCTCTATATTTATCAAAAACGCATCGACGTGCGCACGCATCTAGACATCAGACGCAAGTGTTTGAAGCCGGAATTAATCTATTGAGTTTAATAGCGACACAGCCGTTATCAGTAGCAAGGGGTGTTAACAACGTTATCATCAGCGTGAAGGGGATTAACGTGACGTTATCAGCGTTAATGGGGAACATTTGTCTAAGACGAAGAGTTGAATTAGAGAGTGAAGCAGCGGCGTGAGGTGAGAGTGAAAGAAAAGCAATTTATCTTTTGAGAACGAGTTGATCTAAATGCATCGTTGGGTAATTTGGATGGTTCGATGCCCCCTGGTTGCAGCTAGCTGACCATTATATAACCCCGTGGTTGTGTCAACCTGGTCGTTGCCTAATCCACCCTGGTTGAGTCTATCAGGTCATTTCATGTCTGGTGTAACTACCTGACTACATATCTAGATTACACATACTAAATGTATCTACCATATCTACCAATATCTTTATGTACCTACCAGCTGCAGGCTATCTACCTCTACGCATTTGGTTGTTTCTACCTGGCCTTAACTACCTAGCTTTGTCTACTCTGCACCTGCATAATTTAAATTGTTATGGAGAGTCTACAAGTCTAATTCGAAGGCTATTGATTGACTAGGCCTACTGGTTTACCTGCAGTCTTGTAAAATTGGCTATATTTCCGAAACTGCCTATTTGCCTGTACACTGCCCATGTCCCTAAATCTCTCTCTCTCCCATTGTGGCCCAACCTAGGCCTATTTACATTGCCCTCTCTCTCTCTCTCCACGATTCCCTACCTGGCCTAACCTAAATGACGTAGCCAACTTGGCCGAGTTTCCTAACTGTTCCTAATACCTTTACCGCGTAGCAATGCTTTTTTTCTTCTCATTCCTTTCCGTTCTTAAAAAAGCCTCTAATTCAATTCTATCTACGTGGCTCTCATCCACCTTTCTTATCATCCAATGGATGACCTTTCTCAAGTGGCTCCTGTTTACATTCCATTTTCTATGATCCTACTGCCTAACCGCCTGACTCAAGCATTCTAACTATAAATGAGATTTTAGGTCATTCATTCAGCAGGTGTGGTGGATGATGGTGCAGTAACAAGCACTAGTGCGCCATACAAGAGGGAAAAAGTGAGGCAGAAACTGGTGCTTTGTGAACCCACACACCTGTGAGACTTGTAGTACTGGGACCAGATTCACGAAAGTACTTACGCAAGCACTTACAAACCTGTACATCTTTTCTCAATCTTTGGCGGCTTTGTTTACAATTATTAAACAGTTAATGAGCTCCGAAGCACCAGGAGGCTGTTTATAACAATAACAACAGTTGATTGGCAAGTTTTCATGCTTGTAAACTGTTTAATAAATGTAACTAAAGCCGTCAAAGATTGAGGAAAGATGTGCACGTTCGTAAGTGCTTGCGTAAGTGCTTTCGTGAATCTGGCCCCTGGTCAATTTGTACTTACTTCCATCCACTTGAAAGTTCACGTAGCGCGTATTTACCCACTTTACGAGATCTCACGCTTAAGTCTCCATTCACCTAAAGGGGTTACGAGCTCCAAATCGCTATTAGGTCGGTTTCGACACGTGGTTACTGTATTGTTATGGTCGACCAGGCAGTACTTAGTCAATATGGACCTAAGTTACCATGATTCCGGAAGATCAATACTACTATTTCGGGGAGATTATGGTGTATTTCAGGGCCCCCTAGAACGTGTACTCAAGGGTTCCTATGACGTGTACTCAAGGCTCCTAGGACGTGTACTCAAGGCCCCTAAGACGTGTACTCAGGGGCCCTAAGCCAACACCACTCTGGGCATGAGAGCTTCGCTGGCCAATGTCTAAATGAAAGTCTAAATCAAAAATTAATTTTTGATTTAGACTTTTTGATTTAGACTTTTTGATTTAGACAAAAATTAAGGTCGTGAATTCTAGACATTTCACTTCCGCTTCAAGTTACGACTAACCAAAAAAAATTATTCAACAAATCGATTAACTACGACTCATAAAACGCAATTTTTAACGTTAAATAAGTTTAAAAGACATTTTTAACAAGTGACTAATGATAATCCTCAACTGTTGATGGGGTATGATAGATCTTAATTACTGATCAATCACGTTCATATCATGGCGATTGACTCAATGCTATAATGCAATGAGAATATTGAATCAATAAACTTTCTATAATCTAAATTAGTTTTCCTTACGTAAGAAATGTAAAAAATTAATATATAGACGGCGAAAGCAGAGGGAGAAAGATTAAAATGCAAATTACCAATTAGCAAGAATATTGGAACACAAAGATGGCAGCGGTCGCCTATAACTCCAAGACCAACAGTATACTCTTTAACAAGGCTTCAGGCCCAAGAAATACAGCGGATATGTGTAAACATGTAATTATTATACATGGAGGAGCCGTATACATGGAGGAACTATACATGGGGAGGCATAAAAAAAGGGGGGGGGGGGGAAAGAATACATGAAGGAATTATCTGTCATGAAGACATATGGGGAAAATAATTCATGGTAGAATATCATGGTATCATACATGGTGGGAATGATGCATGGTTCCCACCATACATGTATAAACCATATGTGTATGCATATGTCAGGAACTGACAAATAGGCAATCAAAAAATATTCAAGATTAATATACATATCTAAAAAAGAGAGAGACATACGTGAAGAAATTCATACATGGAAGGCCCTCATTTGGCGGAATTATACATGCAGTATATATATACATATGTATGTACACAGTTTGATCCACATCCGGAGTCCATTTAAGGAGCAGTCAAACACCAAATATAAAGGAGTATGGGATCTAATAGATGGAAAAAATCATTCATCTAAGATCTACATTATATATATATATATATATATATATATATATATATATATATATATATATATATATATATATATATATATATATATATATATATAATATAAAATATAATATATATTTTATAATATATACTATATATATTAAGTATATTAAATATATTTATATAAATATTAAAAACACGTTCAATCTCCATGTATAGAATCAACATAAATAGTTTCTACACCCCTGTGGCTTGTCCACATGAAAGGGGCCTCCACCCACATCTGAAGGAGCCCTCCACCTACACCTGAAGGGGCCCTCCAGCCCACACCTGAAGGGGCCCTCCACCCACACATGGAGGGACAACCACAGGGGCGCATAACCAATCATGTGCCACAGAGCTCATGCCGAGTACAACCACCCAAAGACAATTACACCAACATGGATTACAAGATAGTTCACGCTTGTCATGCAATTATAGGATTGCAGGTAGGTTAATGGAGCCGGGTACAGGTAAACAGACAATGGCGCAGCTTAATAATGGAGTGGGTTCACAGGACGCAGGTCAATGGAGGTTAATAGTAAAGGTGAGTACCATTTATGATACAGGTGAGAGATAATGGCGCGAGTAGTAATGTGTAAATTAATGGTGCGTGTAAATGGTTGAGAATAACAGGTTAATGGTACCGGTCGTTGGGGCATTTTAACAAAGTTGTAGACTTTATTGATAGTGTTAAGTTTGCATGCAATGGTGCAGCTTAAGTTGTGATGGTGGTGATGGTAGTGGTAGTGGTGGTGGTACTGGTACTGGTGGTGATGGTAGTGGTGGTGGTGGTGATGGTAGTGGTAGTGGTGGTGGTACTGGTACTGGTGGTGATGGTAGTGGTGGTGGTGGTGATGGTAGTGGTGGTGATGGTAGTGGTGGTGGTGGTGATGGTAGTGGTAGTGGTGGTGGAGGTGATGGTGGTGGTGGTGGTACTACTCACCTAGTTGTGCTTGCGGGGGTTGAGCTACGGCTCTTTGGTCCCGCCTCTCAACTGTCAATCAACTAGTGTGTTGTTCATCAGCCTATATCATTCCTATGTTTGAAACTGTGAATGGAGTCTGCCTCCACCACAATGCATTCCATTTGTTAATTAATAGTGACACTGAACAAAATCTCTCTAATACCATTTGGGTACGTAGTTTCCACCTGTGTTCCCTTGTTTGTGTTCCAGCCGTGCTAAACAGTTGTTTTTGTTTACCCTGTAATTCCTCTGAGAATCTTGCAGGTGGTGATCATGTCCCCTCTAACTCTTAGTGAGGTTCAGTTCCAGTAGCGTTTTCACGTAACTCGTACCTTTCAGCTTCGGGACGGGTCTGGTGGCATACCTCTGAACGTTCTCCAACTTTGTCTTTGACTAGATAATGACTTCACTGGAGCTGCATACTCCAGGATTGGTCTTACATATGTGGTATACAAAGTCTCAATAATTCCGTGTGTAAGTTTCTAAAGGCAGTTCTTATGATGACGAACCAAACGCTTCCAGCTTCCACCAGTGTTTTATTTTTAGTGATATTCTTGCGCGGGCCCTAAGCCTCTGGCTGGCCCACTGGGCGGGCCCTAAGCCTCTGGCTGGCCCACTGGACGGGCCCTAAGCCTCTGGCTGGCCCACTGGGCGGGCCCTAAGCCTCTGGCTGGCCCACTGGGCGGGCCCTAAGCCTCTGGCTGGCCCACTGGGCGGGCCCTAAGCCTCTGGCTGGCCCACTGGGCGGGCCCTAAGCCTCTGGCTGGCCCACTGGGCGGGCCCTAAGCCTCTGGCTGGCCCACTGGGCGGGCCCTAAGCCTCTGGCTGGCCCACTGGGCGGGCCCTAAGCCTCTGGCTGGCCCACTGGGCGGGCCCTAAGTCTCTGGCTGGCCCACTGGGCGGGCCCTAAGCCTCTGGCTGGCCCACTGGGCGGGCCCTAAGCCTCTGGCTGGCCCACTGGGCGGGCCCTAAGCCTTTGGCTGGCCC